CTCTCGATGTAAGTGCGTATGATGTAGACGCATATGCCAACAAAACCCAACATCGAGCTTCCACTGAGGCTCTGCTAGACTTCCAACCCTGAACTGTGATTAATTTTGTTGTCAATGAATGTTTCCGAAATCCCTTGTCGTTTTCAGTCAGCTCCACCCAAACCCTGACCCCGTGTTTCATCAAGCAATTCTTGATCATTTGGCCCCCGTGATAGGACACGGCGCCAGGAACCCGCCCGTAATACACGTGACAAAGCGCTAAACGTCCGGTAAATTAAGATTAGGGTTAGAATTGAGGTAAGGTTAGAGCTAACACTAGGATTGAGGCTAGGATTAGGGTTCAGGCTTAGGGCTATGGTTAGTGTTAAGATTAAGGTTAAGGTTTTGGTTTGAGTTAAGACACGGGAATACTTACCTGTATTACGGAAGGGGGTGGGGGAGGGGAGCGGTCCGATTCTGGTGTCCTACCGGACAGAGCCGATCCTGAGCTCAACTTTTTATTCCTCAGCCGCGAGCGCACTACCAGTCCGCTCGAAAGGGATAGTGACTGATCTGATTCGGTTTTTGAAAGGAAGGAAGAAAGACCAGGCTGTTTTCACTGAAAGGACCTTGTGGCCTGGGTTTTCGGTACAGCTGGCTGACTGGTTCCACTGATTTGTGTCAATTGATGATAACATCCTTTACCCGGCCTACTCTGTAAAGCTCAAATGACAGTTTGCGGATCTTCTCTTTCGACCCGTTTCATGCATCCTCTACACGTACATGACTCGGCCTAAGTGGTCTAGGCCTCTACAAGTGTTTCTCCTCTTTGTTTTTGTTTAAAAACAGTACTAAACAGTACATCTTCACTACCGAATGCTACTCTGATCGGTTCAGGCTTTGGCTGGCTGAATTAATGAAATTTCTGAAAATGTTCGGATATTGGATTTTAACATCCAGATGTAATAAGTCTTTTTTGGACTTCTCCGGCCTTTCATCCCGACACCTATAAACTCTACTGTATTCTTGTGTGCCGGATTTTAATTGTAACTAATTACTGGGAAGACAGAGCATTTTTCGCGCTGCGTCTGCCCCTGGTTTTTAAAAACTCGGTTACAGACCTCGTACGCACCTCGTTACGCACCTTTAAGTACTCCTCGTGTATTACCTGCTTCAGGCAAATTCGTCTGATGAACTCCCTGTTTTAGGCCAAAACAATTTCTTTCTGGCCAGACTGGCAACACCAGAACCACGTAGGTCACGAACCATAGGGTCCGTACCATTCAGAGAGAAATTGGCATAGTTTTCATGTTTTTTTTGTACATGGAGCAACCAGTGGGGAGGCTATGAATTCAACAATACTCCCAGTGGTAGTTGTTACGTGTGTGCCGTATTTGTGGCTCCAAGGATAGCCAGGTAACTTTTTCACCAAATGCACCACTTCGGTAGTAGGAGACAAGGGAAACTGGAATTATCATTTCTGGTTTATTTACCATCATCAGCCAGTCATACCCGCCCCCAGGTGGTGCACCATCAGAGACTCGCACCAGCG